GAATGATTGCTGCACATGTGGAGATGGAGCCGGGAATAGATAGATAAGGGATCAATCCCCCCAGGAAGGAAGCACAGCCAGCTCAGGGGCATCAGACCAATGACCTTGGGGTTCAGCTGGCCCCTCTTTCCTCCCCCAGCTCTGCAGCCCCTCCCTGCACAGCCAAGCCTGGGGTCCCCAAGGCTCTGACCTCGGGTGCCAAATTTGAGGGTGCTCAAAAGCCTCAGTTATCAGAGAAATCACATCTTAATCAAAGACTGAAATATTTAATGCAATTTAAAATCAAATTTAATCCCAAAGCTATAAGATGAACAAAATGTTAACATTTTAAATAAAGACAGGTAGTGACAGGGCTATGTGGAATTGCAGAATGTATCTGAGTTGAGAACAAAGAGAAAGTCATCACTCCTGGTCTGTCTGTGGACATTTGTTGACATTTGTTCATCTTTGAATTTTTGCATTAATTGGATATTGAAACATTGCAGAAAAATTCATTCATCTTGATAACTGAGGTTTGGGTGCCCCCATCATTTTATGTGGAAGGCCCCTGTTCCCCAGCCTCACCCTGGTTCCGGCTCTGTCCCTGCCCACAGGTGAGCACACTCTGCTTTCCTTTCCAGCCCCGGGATATGCCCAGTGGCTATGGGGGCCGCCACGCAGAGATGTGCTTCCTGGACCAGGTTGGTTCCTGGCGGCTGGACCCAGCCAAGCACTACAGGGTCACCTGCTTCGTATCCTGGAGCCCCTGTTTCACCTGTGCCCACCAGGTGGCCAAGTTCCTAAGCAGGAGCAGCCACGTGAGCCTGCGGGTCCTGGCTGCCCGCATCTATGATCTCTTCTCTGGATATGAGGAGGGGCTGAGCACCCTATGGGGGGCTGGCGCCCAAATCGCCATCATGACCTCTGCAGGTCAGCAGGAATCTTATGTGTGGGGGGTTGACATGGAGGGGGCCCTGGGAAGGTGCCTGAAAGTGGGGAAGGGTCAGTGTCCCTGTGGAAGGCCCTGGTCTGCTGCCTGCAGAGGTGCTGGCTGCACGCTGGGACCCACCGTGGGGCCTATTGGAAGAGGGTCCAGCCCAGGAGAGGTGGTCCAGGAGGGGATGGAGAGAGGGAGGCTAGGAGTGGAAGCAGGCCTTGGGGCTTCCAGAAAGAATCTGGACTGGGCTGGGTCAGAGTCAAGAGGAAGAAACAGTGTGACAAAGAAGCTAAGTTCCCAGGGGACGATGACAGAGGAGGGGACAGAAAGACCATGTGCAAAGTCTGTCCCTAGAGTCATCCACCCTGGTTGCCCCTCCCCACCCACAACAGGGGCTTGACATGTCTCCCCTGTCCCTCTCAGACTTTGAGCACTGCTGGGACACCTTTGTGGACCACCAGGGAAGGCCCTTCCAGCCCTGGCA